ACCAAAAAAGGAAGTAGGGAGAGGGAGCATCTTCCCTCAAGTCAAGACCTGTCCTAAAGCACTGGGGATGGATTCCAGGGGGTGAGTGGAAGAGTCCTGGAGACCCCAAAGTAGATGCCATGTTTGAGATGGACTCAGGCAGAAATGGGGGATGGAGACAGAGCACTCAATACACACAGGCCCGGGGTGACAGTGATGCTGGGATACTCAGTTCTGCACACAGGAAAACATGAGTTAGAGCCGTTCCCTCACATCCTCCACATAAGCATTATCCAGATGGATGGAGGCTTGCTATCAGCCAACCACAGGCCTTTAGGGAATATCCCATGAGCTCACTGTACTTAGACATGAGTCCAACCGAGCAAGCCTGGAACACAGTGCAGATACCCTGGGAGCTTCAGTAACTTGCCAATCAAGCACTTGGTACCCAGGCCACATGGCCAGAGCCTGCAAGTTAGGAAGGCCAGAACAAACCATTCCTAAAAAGAAGATTGAAGCCTCACAGAAGAGAGGATTTAAAAAGCCCCAGTACTTCTCTAAAATCTAGTGACTACTCAAGCCAAGTGTGGGCTTGCAGTCAGAGTGTGCGAAGCAGTCAGCTACGCTCAGGCCTGCCAGTGGACTGTGACTGTCGTGAAGCAAAACTCTGCATTTAGTGATGTTTGACACAGACCTGTGCTGTAGCCAGCAATCCTGTTCTCAAGATACTGTCCAGACAACAGCTCCAAGCCCATTGTCCATTTTGAATACTCACAGGACAGAAAGTTAACACTGAGACATGTACTGACACCTTCAACATCCACAGGGCTTACTCTCAAAACCACAATGTGAGTGAAAGAAGCCCTCTTCAGGACAAGGCTGTGCTGGCTAGTGGTATGTCGGTTTGACATAAGTTAGCCTTCTGAGAGGAGGAGCCCACAGAGACTATGCCTCCATTAGTTGTAGCTATAGACAGGCAAGGCTAATTGCTGGTGGGAGAGTCCATCCCATTGTGGTTGGGAATTCATGCTGGGACTGAAGGCATGGGCTACCACTACCCTGTTAGTCTTGCTGCCTTTCATCCCAGCACTCAGAAGGCATAGGATGGTGGATTTCTGTGAAGTAGATGCCAGCCTGGTTTACAGAGCAAGACCCAGGACAGCCAGGGCTACATAGAGAAACAGTGTTCTCGCCTCAAAAAAAAAAAAAGGCAGGGGGAGAAAATCAGAAAAACCATACATTCACTATTATTTAGAGATACATCAGTATTCAGTAAAGAAGAAAAGTGAGGGACAGGTCAACATCTGAGGGAAGGATACTGCCCACAAGGTCACCAGGGGTGGGGAGGTCTAACATGGGGGCACTTCTACACAACAACTTACACACTGGCCGCATTTCACAATACAGCCTTTTTCCCCTACTCCCTGAACCTATGTGAAGCCTGCTCTCTTCAGAACAAGTAGGATATGGACATGTCCCCTTCATACACACACACCCACATGAATGCAAGATCATGCCTTGCTCACTGTGTACACCTAGAACCTATCTTTGGCTTGCACTGGGACCCAGTATTTGCTGAATGTCTGAATGAATTCATAAAGAAAAAAGTCCTTAGGCTAGGGAGATAGCTCAGTCTGTTCAGTGCTTACCAGAAACATGGGGCTGTATGTGATCACCAGCCCCTGTAAAACAGAACAAAGCAGCCCCTGTAAAGCAACAACAAAGAAGGTGCAGTTGCCTGTGTTTGTAATCCCAGCACTGAGGAGGCAGAGACAGGGTACTTCCTGGAGCTTGCTGGCCAAGTAGCTTAGACTAATCAGTGTGCACACATTTTCTCACTCATAAATATACAACTCATATACACCAAAATTTTTTTTGTTGTTTTTTTCGAGACAAGGTTTCTCTGTGTAGCCCTGGCTGTCTTGGAACTCACTCTGTAGACCAGGCTGGCCTCGAACTCAGAAATCTGCCTGCCTCTGCCTCCCAAGTGCTGGGATTAAAGGCGTGCGCCACCACCGCCCGGCCAAAAATATTTTTTAATGGTGGAGAGAGCATGGGAAAGGTCAATGGTTAGAGGCACTTGCAGAGGGCACAAACTTACTTCCTGGCAACCGAATGGCAGCTCACCATGGTCTCTAGCTTCCGTTCTAGGAGATCTTCCTGTCCATATACATATAACACCCATATACATAAACATAGTTTGTTTTTTTTAAAAAAATGTGTTTATTAACCTAGGCATTGGTGGTGCACACCTTTAATCCTAGTACTCGGGAGCCAGGGGCAGGCTGGTCTGTGAGTTCAAGGCCAGCCTGGTCTATACAGAGAAATTCTGTCTTGAAAAAATAAACAAAACAAAATCAAAGAAAGACAACAACAACAAGAGGATTTATTTTAGGGGCTGGAGAGATGCTCCGGTGTTGAGAGCCCTGAGTGCTCTCCCAGAGGACCCAGGCTTCATTCTCAGCACCCATATAGTTCAAAGCTGTCTATAATCCAGTTCCGGGAACCTGATGCTCTCCTCTGACCTTCATGGGCATCAGACATGCACATGGCACACAAACATATGTGCAGGCAGAATACCCATACACATAAAATGAAGACAGTAGGAAAAATTCTTTTTTTCTTAAAGGTTTATTTATTTATTTTATGTATATGAGTACACCATTGCTCTCTTCAGACACACCAGAAGAGGGCATCAGATCCCATTACAGATGGCTGTGAGCCACCATGTGGTTGCTGGGAATTGAACTCAGGACCTCTGACACAGCAGTCAGTGCTCTTAACTGCTGAGCCATCTCTCCAACCCTGAGAAATTCTTATTCTATTCAATTTTTTAAAGTTTTAATATGTGTAGTGTGTGTGTGTGTGTGTGTGTGTGTGTGTGTTGGTGGCGGCAGGGATAGGGGTTGGGGCTGTGCAGGTGTATGCAGATGCCCAAGAAGCCCGGAGACTTTAGATTCCACCGCCCCCAAACTGGAGTTACAGGAGGTTGTGAGCCATCTAATATAGATACTGGGAATTGAACTTGAATCTTCTGCTAAAGCAGTGTGTGCCATTAACCTTTGTGCCAAACCTTTAGCTCTCTAAAAGCAAATTTTAAAAGAAGGAAGAGCAGGAAGAAGGAAGAGAGGGAGGAAGGAAGAAAGGAAGAGAGAGAGAAAAAGAGAGAGAGAGAAAGAGAGAGAGAGAGAGAGAGAGAGAGAGAGAGAGAGAGAGAGAGAGAGAGGGGGGTGGGGGCAGAAGGAAGGAAAGAGGGGAGGGAGGGAGGGGTGTGGAGTCTTGCTGGGGACCTTCTCCACTGAAGGGATTTCAGCTTCTGAACACAGAAAACTGAGGCAGGGCAGCTAAGGTCATACAGTTCTAGCAGGAAGCCCCAAGCAGGGTGAGGGGAGGGGTGGAGGTTCTGGCTCTAGGCTTCTACATTCCTCTGCTTGAACCAGAGCCAAACCACACACACAACACATCTGGAGCCCACCCCACCCAGGAACTGAAGTCACTGCCCCTCCTTTAGCCCTGGCTGCCTCCAGCCTCTGTCCTAGCTGTTCCCAGCTCTCAGCCTCCCATCCTTCTTGGCAGGCTAATCTGGGGCCTTGGCCATGAGTGTCTCCCAGGACAGGGGTCAGAGGTCTTGCCCCACCTCTGTCTCATCTTTTCAGGTCCCCAGTTGCCCATCAGGAAGCCCTGTTGGACTTGGAATAGGGGTGCTGACTGGGTTGTAGCTCCCCATGATGACAGCCATTTTATACAGTGTCCCCTCCTTTCCTGGCCTTTGGTGCCTCTGCCTCTCCTGGCCTATCAGGAATGGACAAAAGAACTTGGGGGGAGCATGGGATGGAAGAGCTAGCAGGAAACTGGAGCCTCGTATCCAATGCTGACCACACCCAGAGATTCCCTTCTGGAGCCTCACAAGCTGGGCTTTGAAGAGATTGAGCCACCTCCAGGGTTCCTCCCCTCTGGGGTCCTGAGCTAGAAGAAAGAATCCTTTGCTGGGCTTGAAACACCAGACCCTCAGCCAGGGCAGCAACTCCAGCTCTATTGTCCGTGCCTGTCCAGCAGCCAAGGCATCGCCCCGATGCCTGCAGCAAAGGCCGTTCTTCGGCAGAGGCAGCCCTGCTCCCTGGTGGTCTCACCACATGGCTTCCTGTTGCCCCATGGATGGGATTCTTTGTGTTGCTGGAATTCCCATGTTGTAAGGGCATGAAGTGGCATGGCTGCTGGCCAGGAAGTCCTGTCTGTGTGCCTGGTTGGTCTAGCTTAGTGGGTCAAGAGGAGGGGGAGGGGGAGGCCAGAGCCAGCACTTTCCCAATCCCCTGCCAGTGTCCAGGAACTTCTTGCTGACCAGGATGCAAGCTTGCTTTGGAATACTTTTCCTGTAGGATGAGACCTGTGTAAGGTGTCCACTGTTCCCTGAAGCCTCTTCAGTTTAGGTCTCTGTGTTTGTCTCCTAGGCAAAGAGAGCAGCAGGAGTGGTCAAAGCCCTGAGATAAAATTCAGAGACAGACAGCCTCATCTGCCCTCAGTTTCCCATTTGGGCTTGTATGATGGCAGATCATTCTTGCCCTTTTCAGTTAGGAGACACTGGGTACTCATTAGTCTAGGAAGTCGTCACAGTAGCTCCTGTTGGCTTCACAAGCAGATGCTGAACCCCTGTGCCCTTCTGGCCTTGACCCAAGACCCAGTAGTTGAAATTTAATTATGTCGACAAAATTGTGTCGGCTTGTCTTTCCCTGGCCAGAAACAAATTTGGCTCCCAGGGCGCAGCATTTTCCAAGCAAGGCTGCCTAGGAATCAGCCTAGCCAAATCCCAACACCGGGTATCCTTCTCTCACGACTCCCCATGACAGAGCTGGGAACTCCCTATGCTGGGTGGACAGGAAGGAAGAACGTGACTGATAGCTGTGGGGCAACCCAGCCAAGAACCTGTGCGAGGAGGGGTGGTGCGGCTGAGTCACCCACACGGCTTCACTCACCTGAGTCTTCGCAAGAGGCAGGGCGGACTTTGGGCAGGTCCCGCGGTGGGAGGGCCTTCATGTGGGCGTGGCCTGTTCAGCCCCGCCCCTGCGCCTAACTCTGGGGCCCGGGCCACCGGGGCCTCCCCGCTGCCTGCTGTCCGGGGTCCCCGCTGTGTTCTCCCGCGCGTTCTCATGGCTGGAAAGTTGGTGTCTCTGGTGCCACCTCTGCTGCTGGCTGCCGTGGGCCTCGCCGGCCTCCTGCTACTGTGCGTCCCTACCCAAGACGTCCGGGAGCCGCCCGCCCTCAAGGTGCACGCGCTCACTGCGGCGCTGGGAAGCAGCTGGCCCTGGGGTTAGGGGGTGCCTGTCGGGGACTGTAGGTGCGCGCCAGAACGCCCTGCGCTCTCACACCAGCGCGGAACTGCGCCTCCGGCCGGGTCCTAGATTCTGCACTTCGTTTTACTGCGTCCGCGGGGTGACAGCGACGCTTCCGGAGCCCCGAGGCACTGGAGGCAAAGTTTGTGGGAATTCCCCTGTTGCGGCTTCGCGACGGAGCTGCGGGAGCGGCAGAGGAGCTGTCTTCCCGCTCCTTTCATGCTGTTCCCATCTCCCCGGGCTGTGGCAAGAACCTCCGCCCCAAGTCCAGCGCCATTTCCGGGCAGCACCTCGAGCGCGCCGTTAGAGAAGGGCATTGGTTCTAGACTCAGCTCCAGATAAGGGACAACACACACTAGGGATCTCCAACCCCTCTCAGACCAAGGTCTGAACGATGACACTTGGAAGAAGGCAAAGGAAGCTAGCTGGTTCTAAAGGGGTCTCCATCACCAATCCTCAGCCGCCTCAGGCTAGAGGCTGAAGCCTTTAACCATTTGTTGGTCTTTTTCTGAGTTTGTGTGGGGACTAGACATCCCAGCCTCAGACACCTAGAATGGAAGGGAGAGAGCTCTGTAGCCATGCAGGATGAACTGTGGGGTGTGGGAGTTGCATCATTGTATCTGCCTGGCTCTGGAGGAGTTCTCTGCTGTGCGGGAGGACTGGAGCAGCCCTTTCCCAGGCTGGAACTGGCACATACCCCAGGTTGGTGTCCAGCCAGGCTTCTTCAGCTGGAGCACAGCCCCTTGGAGCTACAAAGAAGGCCCATCCAATGCCCTTCTCCGCTCTGCAAAACCTGCCTCTCCCTGTTCCTGGCTTTTAGGCCCAAGCAGGGGCATGGATTGGAAACCTTCTACGTTCAGCCAGTTCAGCCACAGTCACGTTCTTTCCCAGTGGCGCTTACTTCCACATCCTGTAGTTAGGCTACGGTTCTAGCAGATATAGGCAGAGTCGGGACAGAAGGAAGAGTAGCCATTGGCTTTGCTTCTCCTGAACAGAGCAAAGTTTCAGATGGGACCCTCTGTCCTAGTCACAGCCCCTCAGTTGCTGTTGCCAGGAAGTCTACTTTCTGGTGCCTGTCAGTGCCATCCTCAGGCAGTTGTGGGAGTGAGAGGGGTCACAGCAGGAAGTCCTGGTCAGTCTCCTTCCATTCAATCTGTATCACTGTGAATGCCCTTGGATGAGCTTGAGCTTCGGTGTGTGATTTGGTGCATAGCTGGTGGGAATGGGGACCTGGAGTGGGGAAGGAGCCCCCACATCCCTCAGGCTGACTTTCCATGTCCACCCACAGTATGGCATTGTTCTGGATGCTGGCTCTTCACACACATCCATGTTTGTCTACAAGTGGCCAGCGGACAAGGAAAATGACACCGGCATCGTGGGCCAGCACAGCTCTTGTGATGTTCAAGGTGAGTATGGTCTCGGGTTCCTGTTCAGTCTTAGCTGAACAGGCCCAAACGGTTATTCTCCTCTGCTTGCTGCTAGGTGGGGCTCATTCAGGGCAGGAGTTCAAACGGAGAGGCTGGGTTCTCAGGACCTGGGAGGGGCTGTGGGTATTTTATGTTCTGGACCTGAAGCCCTAAGGAGCAGGTGGAAGCCCTGGGGTTTAATGGCCCAAGACCAGTCTCTGCACGATAGATGAGGCAGGTGGGCCTCTGGGGATCTGAGGGTGTATCCCAGCAGGTTCTATGGAGGCTAGGCTAGGCTGACAATGCCCAAGTCTTTCTCCTGGCACCTGTGCCCACAGCTACTAGGCAGGCGGCAGCATCAGAGACTCTGGGTGACACATGACCCTTTGTCTCCAGTTTGGGTGTCTCTGGGATTAAGTTGGGAAGGTGTGTTCAAGCAGCTTCAATAACGGATGCTGGAAACCATCCACCAAGCTTGGACCCAGCTCCTTGTTCCCTCTAGGTGGTGGCATCTCCAGCTACGCAAATGACCCTTCTAGAGCAGGCCAGAGTCTGGTCGAATGTCTTGAACAGGCACTTCGGGATGTGCCCAAAGACAGATATGCCAGCACACCACTCTACCTGGGAGCTACAGCAGGCATGCGCCTACTCAAGTGAGTACCTATACCCTGACTTGGCCCAGGGGCCTGCACAGCCCTTCAGCAGACTAGAACTCCCCTCCCTGGGCAAGCTCTCAGGAGGGCAAGCCCGGCAGAGGGCATCTGGGGATGAGCTCCATCAGAGTCCCCCTCCCCCATTCCACAGCCTGACCAGCCCAGAGGCCACAGCCAGGGTGCTTGAGGCAGTGACACAGACGCTCACACAGTACCCCTTTGACTTCCGCGGTGCTCGCATCCTCTCGGGACAGGATGAAGGGGTGTTTGGCTGGGTGACTGCCAACTACCTGCTGGAGAACTTCATCAAGGTGGGCCCTGCAGCTGGCCCAAGGAACCTGGGATCCTGCCATCCTTGCTTGCTCACAGTCTTAATCCAACCTATATTCTTCACAGTATGGCTGGGTAGGCCGGTGGATACGACCAAGGAAGGGAACACTGGGGGCCATGGACCTTGGGGGTGCCTCAACACAGATCACCTTTGAGACCACCAGTCCATCTGAAGATCCAGACAATGAGGTCCATTTGCGGCTCTATGGGCAGCATTACCGTGTCTATACCCATAGCTTCCTCTGCTATGGCCGAGACCAGGTTCTCCAGAGGCTTCTGGCCAGTGCCCTCCAGGTGTGTATCCAGACTCAACCATAATACCACACTAACAACTTCTGGAGGAAGAGAGGGAGAAGGGACAAAAGGCAACAGAGCATAGCCAAAGAGCAGCTCACACTGACCTCAGGGGCCTTAAGAGAGGCTATGCACAGCAGTGAGACCCACAGTGGGTCGCTGGCTCCATGATGACGTCTGCCTTCAGCCTCAACCAACACCCAGTTTCTTCAGCTAGGTGTGCCTCAGCTTGTAGACAGGTGGGGAGGAACTCGGTGGTATAGTGTCAGGAATGGGAGCTTAGAATAAGGAGAGCCAGGGAATCATCTCAGAACCTTGAATGCCTGGCTAACAGGTTTGCTGTTTGTCTAGCAGGTAAGAGTTGCCATGGTGATTCATGAACACAAAAGTGATATTGCCCATGTTGGATTTATGAGCAGTTCATCATGCTGCTTCTCTGGGCTGGGGTGGAAGTCAGTAGCTAGAGTGAGGAATTCTGTCTGTACTCTGGCTAACTTCCTAGAGCCATCGATTCCACCCCTGCTGGCCGAAGGGCTACTCCACTCAAGTGCTGCTCCAGGAAGTCTACCAGTCACCATGCACTATGGGTCAGCGTCCCCAGACCTTCAACAGCAGTGCCATTGTCAGCCTGTCAGGGGCCAGCAACGTCGCCCTCTGTCGTGACCTCGTCTCTGGGCTCTTCAATGTCTCCTCCTGCCCCTTTTCCCAGTGCTCCTTCAATGGGGTCTTCCAGCCTCCTGTGGCTGGGAACTTCATAGTGAGTCTGGTGGGTAGATGGATGTGGAGGTGGGAGGCCCTAAGCATGTAGTGATAGGATGACTGCAGACTCCTTTCTCCCCAGGCCTTTTCTGCTTTCTACTATACTGTGGACTTCCTGAAGACAGTGATGGGGCTGCCTGTGAGAACCCTGAAGCAGCTGGAGGAAGCTACAGAGACCACCTGCAACCAGACCTGGGCTGAGGTGAGAGGCTTGTTTTCATATTCTCCATGGCTGGGCGGGAAGCTTCCCCTTCAGTTGACCTCGGTATAAAGAGACTCAGTCATTTCAGAATGCTGCCTGCCATAGACTGAAGAAGCAGCCAGGCTAATGTGGGGAGCTTGGGGCTGAGTAAGCTAGAATTTCAGTGGTCTCCTTGGAGCCTGATCCTACAATCAAGGCCTGGAAAACACGTGGAATGGGTATTGCAAAGGCTCTGTGACAACAGGGACCTCAAAGCAGAAAGGGACAGAAAGGCAGTTGTTTAGGACAAAGTGTGGGAAAGACTGTCCCACTAGTAAGAAGAGAACACTCAGGAGAGGTTCATCAGGGCTGGGGGATGCCAGGAGAGAACACTCAGGAGAGGTTCATCAGGGCTGGGGGATGCCAGAAGAGAACACTCAGGAGAGGTTCATCAGGGCTGGGGGAGGCCAGGAGAGAACACTCAGGAGAGAACACTCAGGAGAGGTTCAGCAGAGCTGGGGGATGCCAGGAGAAATTGAAGATATTGCCAGATTCCTGGCTCTGGACATGGGTTGAACAGTAGTTCCAGGTAAGGAGGAATAGAGAGCCCTGATTGCTGGAGTATAAGGTGGCTACCATGTCTCCTGAAGAAATAGGTCCTTCTAGTCTTAGGCACCCAGGAAGGTCTCAGAAAAGTAGGGCCAGTTGGTCAGAGAGAAACACTTAAGCCTGGACCTCTGTCCCTTTGATTATAACGCAAGGATGCTACTATCTTCTATTTCCTAGTGGCCATCCTTGCTGTCCTCTCCATCCAGATGTTGGGAGGGGAGAACACAAGGCCTTCCAGCAGTCACGAGGTTTATCCCAGAGGAGTGTCTGCCTGGGAAGGGCATTTTGGACTAGGTCTTTCTGTGTATTTCCTGTGTATGCCTTTCTTGGCCTAAGCTGTTAGGGGGTGGAGGATTGCTGTACCCATTGGACCATAGCTCCTCATGGTCTTGAAAGTAATGGTGTCTCGCTCTTAGCTTCAGGCCCGAGCGCCAGGGCAGCAGACCCGCCTGGCTGACTACTGTGCTGTAGCCATGTTCATACATCAGCTACTGAGCCGTGGCTACCACTTCGACGACCGCTCTTTCAGCGGAGTGCTCTTCCAAAAGAAGGTGGGTAAATGGAGGGGTCAGAGGATTCTTGGTTCAGACTCTTGGAGGCTGATGCCATGCCACGCCCCCTCTTAGGCCTCAGACACGGCTGTCGGCTGGGCGCTGGGCTACATGCTGAATTTGACCAACTTGATCCCCGCTGACCTCCCGGGGCTACGTAAGGGCACCCACTTCAGCTCCTGGGTCGCTCTCCTGCTGCTCTTCACAGTCCTGATCTTGGCTGCGCTGGTCCTGCTCCTGCGCCAGGTGCGCTCTGCCAAGTCCCCAGGCGCCCTCTAGGGGGTGTGCTGGGAGCTTCTCCCAACTCCCTGCTGTGCCTTCTTCCCTGAGGCCATCTCTGACTCTGAAGCAGCCTGGAAATCAGTGTTTCTTATCTACATTAGGTGGGCAGCCACGAGTTCTCAGTTAGTCCTCTCTCTTCCTGGGATGTCAGGTCTCTTAGCCTGTGACTTAGGATAAGGTCTATTCGGAATGGGACCTTTGTTCTGATTTTCAGGGCCCTGTGAACTTTCTGTCTGAGCCTTTAGAAAGGCAAGCACCAGAGCTTACAAGCTAGGAGTCACCATGTCTACTTGTAAAAAATTTTGTAATAAAAGATTTTTCCTAGAGCAGTGAAGTGTTCATAGGGTGGGGCATCCTTTGTTGCCTGTTCCTCCGACCAGCTGTGTTGGTTATTCAGATAAAACCTGGTTCCAAGACACTGACTTTTCTTGCTTCTTCCCTTTCTGTACCAGACCTGAGGCAATGGAGGCATTCCTGCTTACACTGGTCTGGAGTTGTCCCCAGTCTGAGTTTTCTCTGACTGACAGAACCCTAACAAACCTCAGGTCCCCCTTGATGCCATCCACAGGCATTGAGGCTTCACTCCAAGTGTTTTTCCAGCTGATACGTGAAGTGTCAGTAAGCCTGAAGGTCAGAGACGCCTGCACCCCACAGCCTAAGTTTCTGTATTCTCTGGGTGGAAGTGTGACGGGAGCATGGGACTGGTCTCTTGCTTCTTTTGTGGGAAGTTAGCTCAGACTCTATTTCTGTTCAGTCAGTGCCTTGAGGGCTGGGTTGGGATGGTAATGCGCATGCACACACAC